ACTATGTTTGTGTTCTGCTATGTTTACTTTTGAGTACTTATTTCGCTGCAAGTAGTTCTTCGCTTAGGATTTCCTCACCGGCAAATTCCTCATTGAAGAATTCATAAAAATCGCCTATTCACCCCCCCTCTAGTCGATCTAACGCACTTTCAGGATGACAATACACAATTCTTCCATATGATCGCAAATGGTAAAGATAAGAAGAAGAGAAGAATACAACTTGAACAGGACGAGGGGTCAATTGTGGGACATGAGATCCTGAAAGCTTATATATCTAATTATTTTAAACAACTTTCTGGGCCTCCGGAAGCAAGCACGGTGTCCCTAAATGAATCTGTTATTGGTGATATTCCTCGGCTCTGGGTAGAGGAGAATGATATTCTATTTGCACCGTTTACTGAAAAAGAGGTTCTCGATGCACAAATGAAACCGATTAAAGCACCGGGACCAGATGGGTTTCCAGCTGAATTCTATAGGAAATGTTGGCATATTATTAAAGATGATCTTATGCCTATGTTTCATGATTTTTTAACGGTCATTTAGAGTTGTTTTATCTTAACTTTGGTATGATTCCGCTGTTGCCAAAGAAAGAAGAGGCAGTTCGGATCAAACAATTTAGACCAATATGTCTTCTTAACGTGAGTTTCAAAATATTCACGAAAGTGGGTACCAATAGATTGACACAGATTGCTCACTTAGTGGTACAACCAAGTCAGACATCGTTCATGCCAGGACGAGACATACTTGAAGGGGTGGTCGTTCTACATGAAACATTGTCTGAAATTCATTCGCATAAGCTAGATGGGGTTATCTTCAAAGTGGATTTTGAGAAGGTATATGATAAAGTTAAGTGGTCTTTCCTTCAGCAGGCAATGCGCATGAAAGGATTTAGTGAGGTCTGGCAGATCCAAGTGGGTTCTCCGGTCCAAAAGGGTAGTGTCGGCATCAAAGTTAACGATGATACCGGTTATTACTTTCAGACACACAAGGGATTGAGACAAGGGGATTCCATGTCTCCTCTCCTATTTAATAGAGTGGCAGATATGTTGACCATTCTTATAGGCAGAGCCAAGCAAAACAGTCAAGTGGAGGGTTTAGTCCCTCATCTAGTCGATGGGGCCGTCTCCATTTTACAGTACACTGACGACACTATTTTATTCATGGAACATGACATTGCAAAAGCGCGAAATATGAAACTCATATTATGTCTCATCGAACAGTTGTCTGGCCTAATGATCAACTTTCACAAGAGCAAGTTGTTTTGCTTTGGAAGAGCCAAAGAAGAGCAAGACACTTATAGACAACTGTTCGGGTGTGAATTAGGTTCTTTGCCATTCAGATATTTGGGCATAGCGACTCATCACCGTAAGTTATCTAATAAAGAATGGAAGTGCATCAAAGATCGAATTGAAAAAAAGCTTAGTTGCTGGAAGAGCAAGCTTATGTCGTATGGACGTCGGTTAGTGCTGATTAACTCGGTACTTACTAGTATGCCAATGTTCCTGCTATTGTTCTTCGAGATTCCGAAAGGGGTGCAGAAGAGACTTGATTTCTTTAGATATTGATTCTTCTGGGAGTCAGATGAGGCCAAGAGGAAATACCGTCTAGCGCGATGGGATATCCTTTGACGTCCCAAGGACCAGGGGGCCTCAGTATTGCGAACTTGGAAATCAAGAATAAATGCCTTATGAGTAAATGGCTCTACGGGTTAGAGACAGAGCCGGAGGGTTTGTGTGCATAGATTCTATGCAATAAGTATTTATAGTCGAAAACGCTCGCCCATGTTACCATGAGACCAACTGACTCACCATTCTGGAAGGGACTCATGAGAACGAAGGACTTGTTCTTTCGTAGGGTCAAATTCTTGGTTGGCAATGGAATGTCAACAAGATTTTGGGAGGATACATGGATAGGAGAGATGCCCCTAGCTATACAATATCACACCCTTTATAACATTGTGCAACGTAAGGAGGATTACATAGGCACGGTATTTCAAATGATTCCCTTGAATATTCAGTTCAGACGTGCGTTAGTTGGTGAGCGATGGGATGCCTGGATGCACTTGGTTCGGAGATTGATAGACGTTCAGTTATTCGACCAACTGGATTCGACGCACTGGTAGTTAGCTAGAAATGGGGTATTTACGGTGAAATCTTTCTACATGTATCTGATTAATTCTGGCCCAATCTCGAGATCGTTACATATTTGGAAGGTTAAGGTGCCCTTGCGTATTAAAATATTTATGTGGTTCGTTCACAAGCAAGTAATCCTCACCAAGGATAACTTAATAAAGAGGCGATGGGTAGATAGTTCACATTATTGTTTTTGTGATCATGATGAAACAATACAACATCTATTCCTTGAGTGCCCACTTGCCAAATTGCTTTGGAGAACGATCCATATAGCCTTTAACATTAATCCTCCAGTTAACATTGAATCGTTGTTTGGAACGTGGTTAGCTGGGGTTGAGCATATTACTGCGGCTCGTATTCGGATTGGAATATGTGCGTTTATTTGGGCTATATGGAATTGTAGAAATGATATGAGTTTTAACAGACAAAACCCTTTATCTTTCTAGCAGGTCATCTTCAGAGCTACCACATGAATTCGTACGTGGTCCTTACTCACTCCTATGGACTCCAGGGAGCCTTTGGTTACTGGGTGCAACCAGTGGGGGAGATGATAGCACGGGTTATATTCAACCGGTTCGGATGGCGGTTGCATAACAGGATAGGAGTCTAGGGAGCTTATCCTTTGCATTGCCTTACTGGTTGCGATTTTGAGCATGTACTTTTCATTTATTTGTTTCGCTTCACTTGCGAGCCGTAATACTTTTATGACTATGTGCTACTTCGAGACTTTTTTAATAAGATGGATGCATGCATTATTATGATGCAGAGGCCGGGGGTATGCCTCCATTTCCAAAAAAAAGATATCGCGTCACTGAAACAACCCCCGCGTCGTCTACGCTCGAGGCGGCTCGGGGGCGACTCATCCAAACCCTAGCGCGCCGCCGCCAGATCAAATCCACCGCGCCGCCGCCGAAAGACGTCGCAGGGCGAAGCCCATGCGGCCAACGGTGGCGGCAGGGCTTCTCCTTGCAGCTCCCCTGGGTCCGTGGGCGACGTCCTCAGCGGGATCCGGCGGTGCTCCGGGCGCGTGTGTGCCTCGTGTCAGCTGCGCGGCGGCGGAGCTCGGCAAGGGGTGGTGGGGCGCGGCTATTGTGCTCCGTGTGTGGCCATGCCGAACGTGGCCGGCGGGACGGGCGTTGGCCAGGGTGACTGCGTGTGGCATGCCTGATGGGCGCGTACTCTGTCCTTTGGCGGTGCTATGGAATGGCAGATGGGTCATCGAGCATTGCTCTGATGGCCTCACCTATTCTCGCCGGCGCACTGGACAAGACACCTTAGTTCATGGTGGTTGATGCGAAGGGGAGGGTGTGAGGGGAGTTGGGGAAACCCTATCTTGGCTTGGTGCCAGGAGTGGTGACGACGACGCTTCAGGGCGTCGTAATCCTTGTTAAAGGCATCGCTACATTGCTCCCTTCCTCCCCTCGTGGTCTTTACTCCGGGGAAATCCTTGCTCCCTTCGTGGGACGGACGATGACGGTGATTTCTTCGTCGTTGACCTTCTTAGAGGCATTGTCTAGGAGCTGACTTGATCGCCAGGGCCGAGGAAGATTGTTCAGCATTGCTCCGGAGTGAGATCTATGGATGGCGACTTGATACAGAGGACATGGATGTGCAACAGTGGCGGTGGATTTATGGCTAGGGCGGCAGTCTCTGGTTGTGAGACATCGGTAGCCATGATCCCATCTGTAGACGACAACGTCTGCCTGCTGCATCATGGTATGCCGGTTCTCCGCTCGGGCGCATAGGCGAAGGCGTGGTTCTGCGCTGCTTGGTGCTTGCTGTGACGGGGCTGAAATCTTGGATCTTCAAATCTGACGGCAATGACAATTTTGTTTTGCTGCCTGGTTCTGCCGCCATGGACAAGAACGGTGAAGCATAAGGACGGTGCGAGACTGTTGGAACGTCCCCATTTGGGATTTGACGGTATCGGTGACTATCCTCCCTTGATCTCCGTTGCAAAGTGCGACGGCGACCTTCGTTGTTCGGAGTTTGTTGGCGGCGAGTGGCTCTCGTCGCGGCTTGACTGTCTACTTGTGTGGGCATAGTTTTCACTTGCGTGGCACCTCACGTCAAGACCGTGCTATGCATGTAGTTGCTTGGGTCGTGGAAAGTGGTGGCGACATCACAACTGATGTCAACTGATGGTTGATGCGAATATGGTTGTTGTTGTAGATTGTTGATCATTATTTTGATGGCTTTGGAGTTTTTTCTTTTGCAGCACTAAGGCATAGCTTCGGTCATGTTTGACTTTGCAATTTGCCGGTGTTTTTCTTGTGTGTGTTGGTGTTGGCTGTGTGTATCCTAACTATGCAGAGGCCGGGTGTGTATTCATTATGTTTGTATCACTTGATGCTCCATTTTACGCAAATAAAATCCACCCTTTGTCGAAAATTTTCCAAAAAAAGATAGATGGTAGAACAGAGAAAATGTACAGCTCAATTCCTGATGCAAGTCAACACCGTCGGGAGCGAGCCTATGGGCTATGGCCACGCAGAGAGTGCTACGATGCAAACAGCACAGCTGCAGAATGCATGTCTGGTTGACAATTCTTAAAGAGAAAAATGAGCTGGCCTGTGAACAGACTGTTTGAAGTGTGCGCCCACCGTGTTTGGTGGGAGTGGGGGATGCTCTGACCGCGTTACTACTGTATACTAATCCTATGCAGTTGATTTGATGTGATGGGTTGGCACTATTATTGCTAATAAAACTGTAGGTCTCCTCTCCTTGATCCTTCCATGGCTTCTCAGATGAGCTGCTGAACTTCATTGTGTCCACGAAATTCCTTGCAGGCGAGAGAGAGAGGAAAGGCAAGAACCACTGAATCAGTGCCCGTAATGGTCTGATCAATCAAGAGAAGGTGCTGTGGAGATGGGGGAAGTAGCCGCGTTTGCCACCGTGGCCGGCACCATGGTCGGTAGGATGGGGCCTAAGCTTGCAGATTTTTTGCTGAAAAATCAGAAGCTGCGGGCAGATCTGGTGCATGACATCGAGCACATCAAAAGAGAGTCCAACATAATTTCTGCCACCATCAAGCAAGACAGCATCGACCGTCCCCCGTGGAGCGGCAACGAGCCTCATAAGCAATGGATCACGATGGTGCGTGACTTGGCGTGCACCATTGACGACTGCATCGACAGCTTCATACACCGCCTGCCGCTCAAGACCGGCGCGTCGTGGCCCCGTCGGAAATACCACAGGGTGAAGACGAGGAAGGTCCGTAACAAGTTTGCCAAGGCGATCCGTGATCTAAGGAAGACATCAAATGATATATTCGAGCTGAGAAGAAAATACACCGACAAGAAGTTGTATAGGGGCGGAGGCGGAGGCGGAGGCGGCGAAGGTGGATCCAACACCTTGGATCCAGATGCACCTGGTGAGGAGACGGAGACAGACGAGGAGATGGAGGCGGACACCGCCCTTTCAACTGGTAGCGTACATGTGGGCTTGAAGGCTGCCGGGGATGAGCTCATGGAGCTGATAAGTGAAACGGCGCAAGGCCAACAAGCTAAGGAGCTCAAGGTGAAGGTGATCTCCATAGTCGGATTCGGTGGTATAGGGAAGACTCTCCTTGCTAGGCAAGCATACGACACGATCAAGAACCAATATGAAGCATGCGCTTGGGTTTGTGCTTCAGACAAGCGCGCAAAGGCTGTTCTCACAAAGATACTCTGGAAACTTGAGAAGCATCCCGCCATTGGCAATAGAGGTCATTCTCGAAAAAAAATTGGCAATAGAGGTGGAACTGCAGGCAGCTCCTGCACCATGAACAAGCTCCGTGCAACCATAAGAAGGTGCCTTGAGACAAAGAGGTATACATTGCGTTCACACCCTTCACGTTTCGGTTGATTTTGTCAACTCATGTTTCTCCCTAATTGCACATCACATAGCCCATTACCGCCACACTTCACATATAGCTAAAAATTTGCATCTTTTGTTTAGAGAAAAGTATATTTTTCGTCCCTCGACTATTGGCATAGTTTAGATTTGGTCCTTCAACTTCAAAACCGGACAATTTGCACCCTCCCCCCCCCAACTACTGAAACCAGACAAGGTTCGTCCTTGGACTCGATTTTGACCGGTTTTGGTGCTGACTCACCCCGGTTTTGACCGTGCTGAGACAAATTCATGTACTTTTTTAGATCCGCAACTTTGTTTTATTCATCACATTGCATGCCTTAGATTATATGCGCACAGTTCGATCCAGGCACACAATTAGGCCATTACCTAATGCCTTACATTACAGGAAGCTCGCAAGTAAATGTAACAGTACTAAGCATCAATATGCTTAAGAGTACCAACGCATCCCTTTCTTATTCTCTTCTACGCCCTGTGTGTTCAAGCACAGTTTAGAAAAATCAGCAATGACGCATCTTGCTGAACAAGTGGACCCTAATCCTAATCCTATTAGAACTCGAGCACTGTACTACCAGGAAAAAAGAAGTCTCCCCACAGGAATCGAATCAAGTGAACAAGCTCGCTTTTTCAGGGTGTTGGCAGCGCGTTTTCAGGGTGCCTTCACATGCAGATCAGACGACTTTTTGCAGGCCCCGCAATCACTTATTTTAAATCTGTCATGTAATCTAAAGATGATAATGAATCTTATCTCTAGCAATTAGATGTACCTAAATATGTGGCGAGAGATATCTTTGCTAAATTAGAATCATCTCTTAATTAAGAGAATACAAGCTTTTTTTTTCTACTTTTGTCTCCCGTTCACCTCAACATTTTTCCTATATAACACTCTTAAGATAACACCATTGTACAAGTGGTATGGTGCTAACTAGTTTAACCCCAAAGTAAGGTGCGAGCAAAAGAGGGGAATATGTGCCTGAGCACAAATGTTGTCATTATATGGTCGCTCCCTTTGCCTCGAGATAATGCCCTCACGTGGTATTTTTCTCTTGTATAATTTTAAACATCAGTCATAGCTGCGCATTTACAACGGTAGTATGCCGTCATGTTCCTCCCGGTCCAGATCTCCACGGAGCAGGCTGCTTCATGGGCCATAATGGACCGGTGCTCCTGTGTTGTCATCAACGCGTTGGGCATGCGACATCTCGTAATGGAGCTCCTATTGAGTGCCTTTAGTGACAAACTGCTACTAAAATGCATGTTGGGCGACGACACAACCCGCGAAGTCTCTCACTCTATCAGCTCACCATGGTCGGCACACTAGCTTCGCCTGGCTTTTTTACTTGCTCCTCTGCTACTCGTTCAGGGGGGGGGGGGGGGCAACTACCGGTTTTCAATGTGTTTGAATAAGTTGGTGAAATAAAAAAATCATGGATTTTCAAAATGTTCATGAAATTTATGAACTATTCATGAATTTAAAAATATTCAAGAATCTGAGAAATATTAAAAATATATAAAATATTCACGAATTTGAAAAGTATCCCCAACTTAAAAACTGTTCATAAATTTTAATGAAAAATGAAAATTTAAAATGAACCAAATAAATAAAAACCAGTAAAAAACCACAGAAAAGAAAAAATGGCCAGAACCTTCTCAAAGCCGAACGATGCAGAAAAGGCTCCCCCACATGGGCTGGCCCGTTAGAGAAACAAAAGGTATGCTTCAACAATTCTTAATGTTGTCATTTTGTGCAAGGGCTATGTCGCACTTACTGTGAGACCTACACTCCTCTCACGCTCCCTCTAATGGCCAACCAATTATGTGTGTTACTGTAACTTCGTTAGTTGTTTTGGGAAGCATTTATGCACTGGTTCAGACTGGTTTTAGAAGCTTTCACCCGGGTTTTTCTTCTTCTGTGTTGAGCTTTTTGTATCAGTTTTCACCAGTTTTTTCAGGGGTTTTCTTCTTTCTTCTTTTTTTCCAGTACATGTCGACTTTTTAAATATATGTTGAACATTTTTTGGTATATACACTGAACATGTTTTCGATACACGTTGAACATTTTCAAATACATGTTGAACATATACAGGAATACATGTTGAACATTTGTCAAATGCACATTGAACATTTTTCACACACGCGTTGAACATTTTCCCAATACCTATTGGCCATATGTCCTAAATATAAGTCTTTTTAGAGATTTCAATATGGACTACATAGGGATGTATATAGATGTAGTTTGGAGTGTAGATTCACTTATTTTGCTCCGTATGTAGTCCATATTTGAATCTCTAAAAACACTTATATTTAGGAACGAATGGAGTACACAATATTCATGATTTTTTTAATGTGATGAAGACACTTTTTGAATGATATGAACATTTTTATATATTACCTTGACATTTTTTTACATTAATGAACAAATTTAATGTGTCGTGAACTATTTTCAAGTTTAAGTAAAATAATCATTGAAATAAAAGCAAAATTACAAAGTATAAAACAAAAATAAAAAAACAATGAATGAAATGTGCATAACAAACTAACAAACTAAAAAAAGGGCAGCCCGGTGCATGTAGCTCCTGCTTGCGCAGGGTCGGGGAAGGGTCCGACCACTTTGGTTCTATAGTAACACAAGAAGAATTTTCTACTGGGCTGGCCCACTAGCAACTCATTTGAGGCGATGCAGCGATCCATGTCTCTACACCTTCTTTTCGTATGATTGTTTGTTTTGAGTTTTGATTAATCTGATTCAGGACCTAGCCCAAGCCTAACTGCCCCAGATAGGCTTATTTTTTGAGATGGTCAGGCTAAACTGCCTGCCTCAAATGGCTGCCCTCAAAAAGAGCATTTTGTGTGTAGTAGTGTATCTTTTACTAGATATCTAGGTAGAGCAAATATATGTGTTCTTATCTAACTCATTCCATCGTTTATAGGTTCATCATTGTGATAGATGACATGCGGGAAGATTTTTGGGAAGATATAAAAGATGCGTTCCCTGTGGTTCCCGGGGATAGTAACAGAGTTATCATTACGACGGCCACTCAGACCATTGCAAATGAATGCAGCTCTGCAAATGGTCATGTTTACGTAATGAGAACTCTTGACGAGGACCATTCTGAACAATTGTTAATGAAGATAGCCTCCTCGGATCAGTACCCACCACTAGCGAGTGAAACCGAGCTCTGTTCAGAAGCACTGAAGAAATGTGATGGTCTACCCCTTTCTCTTGTAACAACTGGCAAGCTGTTGCATGGTGATCGCACACGGGACCGATGGGCAATTCTATGTAAAACCCTTGGCGTACATCTGGAGAATAATAAGAAGTTAGCAAGTATGAAGCGTGTGCTCATCCGTAGCTACACCAGCCTTGGTAGCCAAGATGTAAAGAATTGCTTGCTATATCTGGGTATTTTTCCCATTGGTCGTCCAGTCAGGAGAGGAAGCCTGATAAGGAGATGGTCAGCTGAAGGGTTCATCCCACCAGAGAGTGTCGCTATAGGCAATTTTGATGAGCTGGTCGACCGGAGTATCATTCAGCCTATTGATGCCAGCAGCAGCAACATCGCAAAGGTGAAGACATGCCAAACCCACGGCATGATGCTCGAGTTCATCATGCACAAGTCCATGTGTCAGAACTTTGTTACTGTGTTGTACGATAACGCTACACTATCCAGTGATGTCCGCTGGCTTTCTCTGCATGGTGCAAGCTCCAAAATGGATCAAGAGAATTTGCATCTTGTCCGGTCTCTGACAATCTTCGGTAAAGCGCACAAATCTGTCTTGGACTTCTCCAAGTATAGACTGATGCGAGTTTTGGATTTGGAAGGGTGCAATGAACACTTGGAGGACGAGCACCTAAAGGTGATATGCAGCAACTTGTTTCTGCTCAGGTACCTAAGCCTCAGGGGCGCAGCTAAAGTTCAGGTTCTTCCCAAAGAGATCAGGAAGCTTCAGGTTTTGGAGACGCTCGATTTAAGAGGAACGAATATAGAGATCATGCCCACACAAGTCATGCATCTGCCATCTTTACTTCATCTGTTTGGAAAGTTCAAGCTCCCACAAGGTGTAGGAGGTCGGAAAATACATAAGCTTCATGCTTGGTTGGAAGAGAACAGTAAACTGCAAACTCTAGCAGGGTTTGTTGTTGACAACAAGAGCCAACGATTTGCACAGCTGATGAATCATATGAAGGTGCTGACAAAAGTGAAAATATGGTGCGAGTCTAATGCCACTGCCAGCAGCTCAAGTCATGTCTCAAAGGCCATCAATCGGTTCATGGGGAAAAGCACTGATTCTTCTGATTTCAGTCATCTCTCAGAGGCCATCAAGGACTTCATCGAGAGAGGCGCAGATCCGAACACTTCACTTTCGCTCTCAGTGAACTTCAACCACGAATGGCCTCAAGACTTGCTGAATTTCTCCCTGAAGAAGGACAAAACCTACTATGTAAGATCGCTCAAGCTGCAAGGGAACAACATATGCAGCCAGCTGCCTCAGTTTGTTACCATGCTACGTGGTGTCACTAAGTTGTGCCTTCAATTCCCTCGTCATCAGCTGAATGCTGACATTCTTGTTTCCCTGGGCAGTGTGAGAGGCCTGAAGTACCTGAAGCTCATTGCAACTCAACTGGACATGCTCGTCATTGGACATGATATACTCCGAAACATGCGGCACCTGTGCGTCGTGGTGGAAGTTATGACTGGGATGGTAATCGAAGAGGGAGCTCTACCATACCTCGAGTCTCTCCAGCTACTATGTAAGGATCTCAACTGCTTTAGTGGCACGAAGATCCAGTCCCTACCATGTCTCAAGGAGGTAGCCCTCCATGATGGAGTGTGCAAGGAAACAAAACAGGAGTGGGAAGGAGCAACGAAGAACCATCCCAGACGTCCCAAGCTCTTGTTTTTCACAAAAAAAATGGTTGATGATCATTTCATGGGAAGCGAGGCTGCTGTGGAAATTAGCCTTCCGGCAACAACTACGCATACAATGGCTGTGGAAAGTGAGCCTGCGCAGAATTCTGAGAGCCATGATGCACCACCTACTGATACCACGTTATTGGTGACAACACCACCACATGTCATTTCTACTCAAGAGCCTGGTAATAAGTGGTGTGCCTCTTATTTAGTTTAATTGCTGCTTTTGTTAGTTCGTCGGTTGTGTTGATTTGTATGCACTCTCTCTTCATGCATGTATGTGCCATTTTTTCTGTGCAGTACAAGTTGTTACTACTTCTGAGATGGTTGATGCTCAGGACCTGATGGGAACTGAGTCTGCTACAGAAAGTAGTTCTGTGGCACCAAGTACTGATAGGACCAAAAAGATTGATGTGGAAAGTGAGCCTGCAGAAAATTCCGAGAGCCCAGTAGCACCACCTACTGATATGATGTTATCAATCACAACGTCACCCAATGTCATTTCTACCAGAGAGTCTGGTAATTAAGTGATGTGCATCTTATTTTGCTTAATTACCTGTACTTTGGTTGATTACTAGTGTCGTCGTGTTTTGTCATATATACTCCCTCTTCATGCACGCATGTTATATATATTTTTTGTGCAGTCTGTCTTAATGGTGGCTGTCAACATGGTGATGATGGGAAAGATGTGGATAACATTGAGGACCCAAAAGATTTTACTACAAAAGATGGTCGGATCGGTCAGGTGATAGATCAGAAGAACAAGGAAAGTTTAGAGGATCTGCAGATGGACAATGGCACCCAGGTAACATACACATTCCCACTGTTTTAAATTCTTCCAGTGCTTCTCTTAGTGATGTACTCTCTCTATCCAGATATATAGGGCCTAATTCGTATTTGGAGATTTACTTTGACCATTTATAAGATCAATAATATATGAGATGTATGTTATAAAAAAATATCATTGGAAATTCTTTCAAATATGTGTTTTTGTAGCTAGCAAGGAGAAGTCTGACAGTGATTAGAGATATTGAGGTTGTTCCTGTTACCTTTCATGATTATGTAGTTGGATTTCTGAAGTTTACTGGAGATATTTGAAATTTGAAGATTGTTGGAGCAGTTGTTTTAGTTTTGACTTTTGGCCATATGTTTCCTACTACTACTATGGGGTTTCAATTGTCAAATTGGTTATTGCCTCGACTGGTTTGCAGAAACGAGGCCTACAAAACAAACGGCGCATGCGCGCAAGGATGTTGTCGCTAGTGAAAATTGGCGTCTTCCGTCAGAGAAGTCGACAGGGGCGGTTGGTGCATCGGCTGGGTTAATCTTGCTCGGGACATGGCTAGGATGTGTTTCGAGTATCAGGTTGGCGTTTTAAGTAACTGTATCTTCTGTTGCTTCGATAGCTGGGCTGTCCTTTAGAGTCTTCGGGCATTGTGCTATCAATTTCTGATGCGATAATGGTGGATTCTCAGGTGCAGGGTGTATCAGACAGACTGCTACAGCTATGGGGACTGTTCTCCTGAAGATGATGAAGTGCTTCTGATAAGTTTGTCCTGAATGCACATGAGTTTGTTTCCATGAATTCGGATTTGGTGGATTTATGCTGTCCTGTGAGAGTCCGCCATGTATGTTGTTGGCCATATATTTTGCCCTGTTCGAGTTTGGCGTCTACTTGACAGAACTTAATCATAGTCCTTCATACAGTCACAAGATCAGATTCCTCTTTTATAATTTATAATTGCACATTCTAGTATGCGACCGTTAGCATGAAATATCTCGTTACATGCCTATTATCCTTGTTTTGTTTCTGGTGGTTCTGCATTGAACCATTGGTTTCATGAATTTCATGAGGAAAGTACCCTTTTCTTCACAGAAAATAACTTGATGATGTTTGTGTTCAATTTATGCGTGCTAATCTTAGCAAGAGAATAATAATAGAATGTTGCATTTTACTCCTGATACTTCGTTTGGTATATAAATGGGGATTACGCATTAGGTATACTTCAGATAGAATTTTAACTTGGGATGGGGAATTTCCTCCACTGTTTGCTAACTCATGGTGGTAAAGAACTGGTTTAGAGGTAAAAATACAAAGCTACAAGATGTTCAGTAGAAAGCAGTGATTATCCCCCAATCTCCTCCCATGAATTTGATCTGCTGCTCGGGGGTCAGGAGCAACACAGGACGACGGAGGGAGGTGCTGCCCCTCAAGCCGTGCTAATGGCGGCCGCTACACTACATTGAGAAATACACGCCGCTCCGCTCCATCCTCGCCGGTCCGATTCAGAGAGCATCGGAAAGAAACCCTAGCTGGACTCAGAGAGCACTTACAAATGAAGCCGCCATGACCCCGAGCTCTGCACCCTGAGATAGAACGATGACGCCGGGGTGCAGGGCAGCCTCCCGCCGGCAGAATCATCCGCCTCTCCCGCCCGCACCATTTGGCCGCGGCCTCTGCTCTGCTTCGCTCTCGCTCGCCTGCTCCTATGCTCTGCTCTGCTCTGTTCCGCCGCCCAGCCAGGGTATGTTGGCACCAATCGCCCCGCAGATCGGACGGCCACCAAAATTCGACTGGATTTTTTACTTTTTTTCACGCGATAAAGGCCCTCGTAAGCATAAAATTTCCCCCATTTCTGGTTTCTTGCTTTTATTTATTTTTTATGTGACTTTCCCCGAAATTCTAAAAATATATGTGAATTTCCCTACAAAATACAAACCCCACGCCATCCCACCCTGCGAGGTCTGGCACAACACACTCCTACTGCAGTTGTTAAGAGCATCTCCAACAGTCGCCCAACGCGCGGCGCTCTAAAAACTAGTTTGTAGCGCGTCCATCGTCTGGTTTGGCGCGGCGCGCAGCGCTGGTTCCAGCAGCCATGGGAAAATGCAGCGCATGCGCGTAGCTCCAGCAGCGCACGCGAGGTGTCGACGCATGCCATTTGTTGCATTTTGGACATAAAATAAATTTCACACATCACAAAACAAAGGCATGGCATATAATTTAAATCACACAAACAAGTTGATGACTAAAAGTTTAAGCCCACAAGTTCAAATTCATGCCCACAACATTATCCAACCAAGTTCAAAATGCAAACCAAGTTCATGCCACAAACGAAAGCCACAACAATCAAGCCTCGTCCTCGTCTTCATCCTCATCTTCCTCTGATTCATCCGACTCCTCCGAAGACGATTCTTCCTCCTCCTCTTCATTGCTGCGCGCCGCATCCTCATCATGTGAAGCTCGAAAGGTGTTGGCAAGATCTTCAACGGCATCTTCATGCGAAGGTGTGTGAGGCACACCGGAAGACATTCCGCCTATGGTGCCCGGAGGTGCACCCATGCCTCCAATGAGAGACGCAAAACTCATGCCACCCATGCCGCCCATTGTCGCCCGGAGGTGCTTCGAAGCCACCCATGCCTCCCATGGTCTCCATGGTAGCTCCAAAGCCACCCATAGCACCCATGCCACCCATGGTAGCCCCGAAGCCACCCATGGCACCCATGCCGCCCATGGTAGCTCCAAAGCCACCCATGGCACCCATGCCGCCCATGGTAGCTCCGAAGCCACCCATGCCTCCCATGCCGCCAAGGCCACCGCCACCCATTTGCGCGAATCATGGCTCTTTTTTGAATCAAGACTTCTTCACAGGCAAGATTGACATACTCCTTTTGCGCATCATTGAAGATACATGTGTCCAAGAAGAACAAGTGCTTCTCTCATTCCAACAATTTGGATCGCTCCTCCATGCCCACCTTCCTCTCCTCCAATGCCACCCTCCTCTCCTCGGCCGCCACCCTCCTCTCCTCGGCCACCAACCTCCTCTCCTCGGTCGCGGCATCTTGGTTCCTTGCCATCTTCCTCACCTCGTTGGCTTCTTTTCTTGCCTTGACAATTGCTTCCATAGCATTTTTGAGCTCATCATCTCCTTTCCTCTTTTTCTTTTCTTTTGCGTCTTTCTTGGTCTCATCCGGTCGTTTTGGCTTCGAGTATGAAACCGAGTTTGGTGTGGGGCTTCTCTTGCCGTCATCACTTGATGTCTCGTCCTCATCTTCATCCAAAACAATTGTTCGCTTGCATTTTTTTGCTCAAATCCAAATCATCAACATCCTCACGCTTCTTCCATTTCTCATCATCCTTCAATACTTCATAGCAGTGAGGTCCTTCCTTTCTTGATCTTCCCCTTCTTGGTCCTCTTCTCCTCTCCTTTGAACAAGCTTTGTGCAATATTTAACTACATGAAAACAAAACAAGTTAGCACTACAAACACCAACAACAAGCATGATGAACATGAATGATGAAATGGCACTTAACCTATCTTCATCATTAGTGCCACTTGGGTTCAACTTGTCAACCGCCTTTTGTGCGGCTGCCCATTGTTGACAATCCTTATTGTTTGTCGACCACCGGGAGCGAAGAGATCGATCGGAGCGGTCAATTCCACTCACATTGCGTAGATTAAAGTGTTCTTTCATCCGGAGCCAATAAGAATCTCTACTTTGATCACCTACAACGGATGAATCCCTCGACACGTCCAACCAAGTTTTGCATAGCAAGACGTCTTCGCCGTTGGTGTAGTTGCCTCCTCTTCCGCTCGGTGCAAATATTGTTCATAAACATATCATTCTCATGGTCTGCAAAATATTGTTCTAAAGGATCAGTAGGAGGCACGGAAATAGAAGCAAGACCAATTATTTCATCCTTACTAGGCAATTCTTTATCATGGGGTTGTCTACAAAATTTACCAAAATTAAACTCATGTTTCATATCCCCCAAGCCAGTTGTAACAACATCCTTTTCACAATCAATCTTAGCGTTAACAGTATTCAAGAAGGGTCTATCAAAGATAATGGGACAAAAGCGATCTTGTGGGGAACCAAGAACAAGAAAATCAGCAGGATATCTAACTTTCCCACACAAGACTTCAACATCTCTAACAATCCCCATTGGTGAAATAGTATCTCTATTGGAAAGCTTAATTGTAACATCAATCTCTTCTAACTCAGCAGGTGCAATATCATGCATAATTTCTTCATATAAGGAAAAATTTATTGCACTAGCACTAGCACCCATATCACATAAGCCATGATAACAATGATCTCCTATTTTAACAGAAATAACAGGCATGCCTACAATGGGTCTATGTATCTTAGCATAGGGTCTAGCAATATTAGCAGCTTCATCACAGAAATCAATAATATGCCCATCAATATTATCAGCCAAGAGATCTTTAACCATAGCAATACCATAGCAATATTACCGGAGGAGTACATGTTCTAGTATTACTCTTATGAACAACAGTTGAAGCTTTAGCATGATCCTTTATCCTAACAGGGAAAGGTGGTTTCTCAACATAAGTAGTAGGAACAATAGGATCATTATAAGTGATAGTCTTTTCTTCAACTGTAATAGGTGCAACTACTTTTACTTCAGTGGGAGGATTATATTTAAACCACTTCTCCTTAGGGAGATCAACGTGAGTAGTAGCAAATGATTCACAGAAAGAAGCTACTATCTCAGAGTCAAGTCCATATTTAGTGCTAAATCCACGAAAAGCATTGGTATCCATAAAAGACTTAACACAATCAAACTTAGGCGTTATACCTGACTCCTTACCATCGTCAGAATCCCAATCTTCAGAGTTGCATTTAATTCTTTCCAATAAATCCCACTTGAATTCAATAGTCTTCAGCATATAAGAACCAGCACAAGAAGTATTGAGCATGGTGCGATCATTGAGAGAAAGCCGAGCATAAAAGTTTTGAATAATCATTTCTCTTGAGAGCTCATGATTGGGAATATAACATTGACTTAAGCCTCCCCCAAGCTTGAGCGATGCTTTCTCCTTCGCGAGCCAAAAATTGTATATATAATTACGATCACGATGACCAAGATGCATAGGATAAAACTTCTGGTGTAATTCCAATTTCAATCGTTTATAGTCCCAAGATCCCATATAATCACATAGCCTATACCATGTCAATGCATATCCCTTCAAAGATAAAGGGAAGACCTTCTTGTTAACAACATCATCGGGCATACATGCAATCTTAAATAATCCACAAACTTCATCCACATAGATAAGGTGTAAATCAGGATGCAATGTTCCATCTCCTACAAAGGGATTAGCTAGCAGTTTCTCTACCATACCCGAAATTTCAAAGTAAACATTTTCAGTAGGTTCAGTAGGTTGAGGAGCAACTCTTTGCTCTACTGGTCAGGGTGAAGATACCCCGAACAAGCCCCTCAAAGGATTAGTTTCCATAGTAACAAGTGACAGTAAATTTCAGCACACTATATAAATGTTTCCTTACCAAGTTCCAC